GACTTTTCTATCACACGATTTATCTACCAATCCGAATACGACTTATACGAATCTTCACACTAGGCCAACCAATGACGTTCAACCGGTGTGGGCAGTTTAGTGTCCTTATTGGTCCTATGTCCTACGAGCCCTTCCACTTGAGTCCAGAACAAGATACCAGCTTCCGAATCAGAGCAGATCGTTTATTTCAGGCATACTTGGTTTATATATCAATCACACAGACCGCAACGTACCATAAAATAGGAAATAATATTTGTACACAAATAAGCCCAAGAAGTGGCTGTGAATGTGGGAGGCAGTAGTTAATAAACTGAACATAACTTAAGAACCGTAAATCGTACAATAATAAATTATAGACCAAAATAAAGCTTATCATAAAAGGAATATAAATATCCATAGTGTAATTGTTGAGTAGTTATACAATAAGAATATTTATAGAATATTAGTCCATGAATAGTCCTTGGAATTTACCTGTAGTTTAATCTTCACCGGATATAACACCTCCCCTTTTTTGAAGCATTATGGATAATAATGATCCTTAGGATTTATTTTTATTCGATTGGGTTTTCGTCTGATGCGCTGTGACCTCCTTGGGAGTGTTTCACACGTCTCGTTATTATTCGGATCATTTTTAATTTCATTATTCGACTCAGTTAATATATTTATTGGTATATTCGACTTTGTAGCATTTTCTGTCTCTCGTTCTTGTCTGGTTGGCTGTATGTGGTTTGCATGTCTCACCCATATCTTTTTTCCAACTTTTACTTCGTAGATAACTTTCCCTTTTTTTCGTATTATTATGCCAAACTTCCAAGTTGGCTTTACTCCCGTGAAATCTCTTGTTATTACCGCTTGTCCCACCTTAAACCTTCTGGGCAATGCACCGTGCCGCTTGTTGAATTGCTGTTCCATTCGTTTGTTCTTTCGGAGGTTGGCTCTAAGCTTTGGTTTCATTTGCTCCATAGGTATTCTAATCTTTCTCCCAAAAATTGCTTCTGCTGGGCTTTCTTGATTATTTGTTGTTGGGTTTGGTGTTGCTCGGTATGTCTGTAGAAACCTTTGAATCATCTCGTCTATTTCACCTTCTCCCTCGGCTTTAAGTAGTGCTCTTTTAAATGTATCTACGAACCTCTCAACTAGACCGTTTGACTGTGGATGATATGGGGGTGTCTTTATATGCCTAACAGCGTTGGCGACGCAGAAGTTCGAGAATTCAGCGGAGGTGAATTGTGGCCCATTATCAGATACTAATACATCTGGACACCCAAAGCAGCTAAATACTTGTCTCAGTTTTTCAATAGTAGCTTTTGTAGAAAGAGACTTTACGTAGTGGATTTCTGGCCATTTTGAGAAAGCATCAACCATCACTAAGTACTGTTTTCCGTTTATGGGACCGGCAAAATCTACGTGTACTCTTGACCATGGATTTGTTGGTGTCCCCCAACTCTGCATTTCTGTCTTGCGAGGGGCTTTGATAGCTTTTGCACACGCAGAACATGTCTCAACATATTCTTTGATCTGAGCGTCAATATTCGGCCAATATACATATCCACGTGCAAGTGCCTTCATCCTTGCTACCCCTGGGTGTGCGGCATGCAGTTGTGACATCACCTTACAGCGTAATTTTATGGGTACGATTACTCGATTCCCAAACATCAAGCATCCATCCACAAGTGATAGGGAATTCCGACGGTGGGAATACTGTTCAATATTTTTGTCGTCTATATGGGCAGGCCAACCATGTTCGAGGTATCTAATAATCTGCTTCAATTCATCATCTTCTTGAGTATAACGTTTAATGTCTTCACAGGATAACGGTGTTGCTTTTATGGCAACTTGTAGTATATGGTGAACATCATTCTCCAACGATATCGTTGCAATAATAGAATCTTCACTTTTCTGCTTCTGATTAGCAATTAATCTAGATAAAGCATCGGCTTGTCCAAACTTCTCAGTTGATTTATATAGGATTTGGAAATCATAAGCAAGCAACGTAATAGCCCAGCGTTGTAACCGATTCGCTGTATAAGCTGGAATACCTGACTTTGATCCAAATATAGATAAAAGCGGCTTGTGGTCTGTTAAAAGCGTAAATCGACGACCATAAATCATTTTATGAAATTTCTTTACTGCAAAAACTAAAGCTAATCCTTCCTTCTCAATCTGACTATATTTTCGTTCGGCTGAGTTAAGAGTTCGGGATGCATGAGCAATTGGCTTTTCTTTACCATCAGGAAAACGATGACTGATAACGGCTCCAATTCCGTAGTTTGAAGCATCGGCGGCTACAATTATTTGAAGCTTTGGATTATAATGAGTCAGCAACAGTTTAGAAGATAAAATCCTTTTTATTTCATCGAAAGAATCTTGGCATTCTTTCGTCCAGTGCCATGTTGTATTAGCCATCAAGAGCTGATTTAATGGTTGTCGCAATTTATACATCTGGGGTACGAACATACTATAATAACCAATCATCCCCAAGAATGAACGAAGGGTTGTAACCTCAGTCGGTTTGGGCATATTTTTGATAGCATTTATATTGTCTGGATCCGGTCGACGACCATCTTTATCAAATATATATCCCAGGTATTTAACAGACTCAAGAAGAAATTCACACTTTTCTTTTTGTAACTGAAACCCAGCTTGTGATATTTTAGTGAGCACCACATCTAACCGACGCATTAATTCCTGCGCGGAAGAGCCAACAACTATAATATCATCCAAGTAAACTGCTACACCTTCGATGTTAGACAAAATGGTATCCATTATCTGCTGGAAAATTGCTGGAGCTGGCTTAACACCAAACGGTAGCCGGTTAAATCGATAAAGTCCACGGTGGGTATTAATGGTTAATAACTCCTTTGAATCTTCGTCAACTTCCACCTGTAAGTAAGCTTCAGACAAATCAAGTTTAGAAAAATAACGTCCACCGTTCAGTTTAATAAATAAATCCTCTGGCAAAGGTAATGGGTATGAATGATTTTGTAAAACGTCATTTAATCCTGTTGAAAAGTCTGCACAAAGGCGAATAGCTCCGCTCGCTTTCTGAACTACTACAATTGGTGCTGCCCATGCCGAATAATTAACAGGTTGTATAACACCGAGTTTCTCTAGTCGGTCTAATTCTTTGTCGACTTTGTCAATAGCTGCATATGGAACTTGACGCTTTGGACGGAAAACAGGTTTTACATCCTGTCGTAGGTATAATTTTGCCTTCTCAATTGTGCAGCATCCCAATTTATTCTGGAACAAGTTCTTATGTTTCTGCAAAAGATCTTCTATCGTTACGACTTTCTTGGTTACATGAACTGCGGGTGGATCTCTAGGATTATTTGCGCCTTTCATTGTGCATATTTCATTTAATGGTACATCCCATAAATTTAGTTTATCTATCCAGTCTATACCAATAAGGTCTAACTCATGTCTGTTCGTTAAGTAGCAATTTCCTGTAAAGTAATTACCTCGGAATTTAACAGAGCATTTTATCATTCCCACAAGTTTCAATATATCTCCGGACGCATTCCGCGCAGTGTGTTCTGTTGGTAATACTTTCGGACACCCAATTAAATACCACGTTCGTTTCGAGATTAGTGTGATATCTGACGCTTTGTCCAATTGCAATCGAATATAAACACCATTAACAATTAATTCCACATATCTTCTTTTATTCGCTACGCTTAGAGCCAGTGTAGAATATACGCTGTTTATATACTTATTTTCATACTGGTGCGGACGTCTGGTTCGTTTTGATCTTAAACTTTCTCTAGTTCGGCAGACTAATTCTTTGTGGCCAACTTTATTGCATATAGTGCATCTATGATTTCTAAATCGGCAAAATCTTGAGAAATGCCACGCACCACAATACCAACATTTAGTTGCAGGTTTAGGAGTTTTCGAGTAATATTTATGACTTTTGGTACTGTTTTGTCTTTAACCTGTCTTAACAGCATGAACAGAATTTGAGGGCACAGCACTTTTGGTTTCCAGCATAGCTGTATCTTGTTTTAGGTTTATTAATCGTTGACATTCAGTGGTGATAGTTTGTAACGTCATTTCATCATCATGTTCCATACGGGATAACAACTTCATGCGAAAGTCAGCATCAACAGGAGAGTTCAGACCAGAAATAAATAATAAGCATTTAAATTGATCACTGGTTAATACATTTAATTTAAATCGTTCTGCTTGTAAATTTACTCTTCCGGTGTACGTATTATAATCTTCATCAGCCTCTTTAGTCAGCTGTAGACAGTTATACCGGATACGGAATAAAGACGCCTGTTCACAAAACATTTTATTTAGGATGTTAACAGTTTCATCGAAATTAACTTCTCGCGGATGTTTAGGCAGAATGTGGTTTTTATACTTTTGATGCTCATTAGGACCAAGTTTCTGTAATAGCAGCCGGACTTTCTTCGCATCATCCATAGTAGCAAATTCTACTCGAAAAATATCTTCTACTCTGCCGAACCATGCTTCAAAAGTGTGACCGCTGTCTGCATCAAATATAAATTCTGGAATTGGATTAAGATATGATTCTATACCTCTATAATCGGGATTATCTTGTTGAATAGATAGTTTACCCAAAAGTGCCTCCAATAGTTTTTGTTGCGAAGCTAACATTTGATGCTGCTGCTGTAATAATAACTGCAATTGTTCTGAAGAATTTGACATTTTTTTTTATTTTAAATTTTACTGCTAATAATAATATTAATCCAAAAATCACCGGTAATTTATTACAGCTAATTTATTTCCAAAATCTGAGTCACCACTTGTATATTTTTTTGCCAAAATCCCCGTCGCCAATTGTTATGACCTTGGATGTCTGACTTTTCTATCACACGATTTATCTACCAATCCGGATACGACTTATACGAATCTTCACACTAGGCCAACCAATGACGTTCAACCGGTGTGGGCAGTTTAGCGTCCTTATTGGTCCTATGTCCTACGAGCCCTTCCACTTGAGTCCAGAACAAGATACCAGCTTCCGAATCAGAGCAGATCGTTTATTTCAGGCATACTTGGTTTATATATCAATCACACAGACCGCAACGTACCATAAAATAGGAAATAATATTTGTACACAAATAAGCCCAAGAAGTGGCTGTGAATGTGGGAGGCAGTAGTTAATAAACTGAACATAACTTAAGAACCGTAAATCGTACAATAATAAATTATAGACCAAAATAAAGCTTATCATAAAAGGAATATAAATATCCATAGTGTAATTGTTGAGTAGTTATACAATAAGAATATTTATAGAATATTAGTCCATGAATAGTCCTTGGAATTTACCTGTAGTTTAATCTTCACCGGATATAACAGTTATTAAAGCAATAACTGAAGATAAAACCATTTTTATAAATGTCGATCACAGCATCTAGTTCTGTTTTGAAACAATCTTATGTAGTTATGAAAAACATCAAATCATTAATCACATTTATGAGTGTTCTATATTTATTTATTTAAACACATAAACATTGGTACACGGAGACATCAAACAAATATCCGCCACATAAATCTCATTTGATTTATATAAGGGCTGAGATACTGCCCGGGTGATCAAACCGAAGTAGGGGGATTGTTCTATACATAGAATATGTAATATAAAGTAGTATATTTGTATTTTGTACATAGTGAAATTGCTATAAACTTAAAGGGGTTATACAATTCATTATTTTAAAGAAGTATTAAATCAAGAAAATGTTTAATGTTCTTATTTAGATTAAGTTGTGTATATTGACATTGTAATCGTTGAAATTCTATCATTTCTAAAATATCCTTTGATGGTATAGGTATATTCGAGTCCTTCCTGAAATCATTAAATAGGAATTGGTAACTTCATAAAATTAAAAGTAGTTAAGATTACTTGAAACAAATCTAATGCTTAATGTAATGAAATCAAGGAATAATGTCGAACATAGGCAACCAGTTAAATACAAATTCCTCTTCGCTTCTCACTTTTATTCATAGAAAACATTGAATGAATATAACAATGGTAACTTCCCTTTAGGGATCTATTATTCTGACTGCACTGAGCGATCAACTAGAATAGACAATATATAGTTAGAAAATTACTATAGAATAATAGCTTTGATATGAATAATAAACCCCGACCGTTGTTGCTACCTTGACTTGGTGGTTGGGTTTGCCTATCGTGATAAAGCAACCGAGCTATACTGGCTGGAACAGCCGTTCCTCAAGGTCCTACCATGTCAGACAGGTCGGTTGAAGAGCGTTAAGACTAAAAGCAACAAACCCAAGGTCCGAAGGCGAAGTCGTACTGCTGACTGTACAGAGGTGTGACAGCATTAAGGTGTTTCCTTCAGACAAACAGTATGACGGCGATACTGCCTTCCCACAAGGAGAGGTGGGGTTAGAAAAGGTTGACCCTAGAAATGCACACCTCGCCTTGTTCCACGGATATCCGTCTCCGGCGGTAAGGTCTCAACAAGTACGGAGCTGACACAAAAATCACCCATAAAAAGGTCATGTGTGACCGACTTCAAGCAGCTGTCCCTTGGGCACTGCGTTCACGCTCTTAGGTCACTAAGATCACCTCTAATCCAGTTTCCTTTTCAGGTACCTCCAGAAAGACCCACGGTGTGGGCAACAGGGAAGTGATAACCGCTTCCATACCTCTAACAGCACTCAAGACTACTGTATTCATAATCAACCTCCGTCTTCACTTCCTATTATCCCTCCTACATCGACTTTCCACTCTAAACTTCCTCTTTCGGCTTCTCCCTCAAGTGTCACCATAGCCAACGATTCTAGTGCTCAAAACACTGTCCCAGGTCTACTGAAACCTCGCTCCAAACTACACATTGGAACTTTAAACGTACGCACTCAAATTGGTCAACAGGCTTCCTTGGTTAGGTTCCTAGAATCTCGTACCATTGATGTATGCTGTGTCTCTGAAACACGCATACAGGTTCCCAGTGTGGTCATTCACTTGACCTCACCTCGGCAAAAAGGAGAGCCAACGAGATACCCTCCGTGTATCTGGTGACCCGACGGCCAGCTCTCGTGGGCTGACAGGAGTAGGGATAGCATTAAACATGAGGGCGGAACAAGCACTGTTAGAGTGGATCCCCCCGAATTATTCATTATAGTGAGAAAAAATTGGTTGAGAGATTTGACTAGTGTTTATAGTTAAAGTTAAATTTTGTAGAGTTTTCACTACTAATCAACATCAGCTAAAATGTAACAATGCTCTATCATTCTTTTGTTTATAAACTTATGAGAGTTAAGGATGAGATTTAAAGTAGAAGTATATTGTCTAACAATATATTAATATTGTTGAATGTGCATTATGTCACATCAAATCTAACATATAATCTAGATAAGGAGCAGGTATTTCAGCGAGAACCAATCACGTTTAAGAAAACAGGTCTCAGATTTTCGCTCTAAATTCACTCATCCATTTGGATAAATAAAGTTTTGGTGTTATAGCTGATTTCAGGTCGTGATAAAAAAAAACCCGAAATTGAATTCCTAAGCTTAATCATCAATTGTAAATAATAATTATAATTTCTCACTTACGTACTTACGCCTGTTACTCCTCGTGAAGGAGCATAGGCCGCTCACCAGCATTCTCCATCCAACCCTGTCCTGGGCAATCCTTTCTAGCTCCGTCCAGTTGTAATTCATCCTTTTCATATCTGCTTCTATTATCCGACGCAATGTGTTCTTTGGCCTTCCTCTTTTTCGCTTCCCTTCAGGATTCCAAGTTAGGGCTTGCCTCGTGATGCAGTTCGACGATTTGCGTAATGTATGTCCTATCCATTTCCATCGTCTTTTCCTAATTTCTTCTTCAGCTGGAAGTTGGTTTGTTCTCTCCCACAGAAGGCTATTGCTGATGGTATCCGGCCAATGGATGTTGAGTATCTTGCGTAGACAGTTATTTATAAATACTTGTACTTTCTTGATTGTGGTTGTTGTAGTTCTCCAAGTTTCAGCTCCGTACAATAGAACTAACTGTGCTGACGTTCGTATTGAAGATTCTTACTTTGATATTGGTTGAAAGTTGTTTTGAGTTCCATATGTTCTTCAATTGTAGGAAAGCGGCCCTTGCTTTGCCGATCCTCGCCTTTACGTCTGCATCGGATCCTCCTTGTTCATCGATGATGCTTCCCAGGTATATGAAGGACTCTACATCTTCCAGAGTTTCGCCATCAAGTGTGATTGGATTGCTGTTCTCCGCTTTGAATTTGAGGACCTTAGTTTTCCCTTTGTGTATGCTGAGGCCTACTGATGCAGAGACTGCTGCTACACTGGCTGTCTTTATCTGCATCTGTTCGTGTGTACTCCGCCTGTAGCTCTTATAGGGTTGCTGCCGGTCCCAAGCCCGGGTAAAGGAGGAGGGTTGGGCATGGGGTTAGCGTCCCCATCCCGTAGAAAACTAACTCGCTAAAAAAACGCTTACCAGAAAAATAATTTCTCACACAGGTTCATAAACCCCATTTGGTCTTGTTTATTAAGTGAACACGCTGAAGGTAAGTCTGGCGTCGCTCAAAGGTCGTTCATAAATTATAGTATCACTCATAACCCTAATTGGAAACAATGTTATGGCTACTTAAATCTATTTAAGCTTTTATAAAGTTTTAGGATGATAATTAGTTTATATCCATATTTATTAATTTAAAAGTAGATTTCTTTTTTCAATTTAAAGAAGTAATAACCTGTAGTAGTAGACTTCAATAAATACTGTTCACCATTGGTAATATTACTATTTATTTATTCTTCTCGACTTAGATCTAGTCATTTTGTTATTACCTTTTTCTGCCACTACTGTAGTGAACGGGAACACCAGTGGGGACAATCAAATGTTTACTATTGATTGATCACTGCGTAGTAATCAATGTCATGTATGTCAGGTCCTTCTTTGTATAGATCTAATCCTATCGACCAATTTGCAATGTGACCACTAGTCTAGATAACTTGACATTGCCTGCACTATGTTGAGATATGATGGTCCTTTTGACTATCTCCAAACACCATCTTAAAACTAAATATGCTTGGACACAAAATTACAAAATCTATTAGTAAAATCTGCGAACCATACAGTGAATACTTCATTTACAATGTGTCAATCGATTGTCTCAGACTTGATTGTTTCTTAGTTTCTACACCAACGATTCTCTGTTCTCGTCCTCTTTTCTTCGATCTTCTTAACCTTCTGCCACCAGACATTTCATTTTCGATTGGTGATACATACTACTTATATCTGTTGACATCAGTAGCACACATCACACTACAAGTACAGTTTTACGTACAACTGAAGACTTATGCAAACGTGATTCAGCATACATAATAAACATCCTAAAATCTCCTTGAATCTCATAGAAAATATATCTGCTGAAGCCTTAATCCCTATCAAGTATTCACTTATAAGTATAGACAACCAGTTATTACGTAACAAACAATGTAGTCAAAATACTTGATAATCACCTTTGTTTATTGCAGCTGATTATGGTATTACTATGTTGAAATATCACTTGCTGTTTCGTCATATATTTGTCGACGTCACGAAGGCGCGTCAAACTGATTTGTCAATATAATTGGCATGGCTAATCAGACATCGTTTTAAGGTAACATGATAATCGAGGGATATTGACAGGTATACGGTATGAATCAAGATTTTGCTTAATTATTCAAAGACAGATAAATACTATCAACTCAGTTTTTTGAGTGAAACATATCTAGATTAACGTATATGTTTATGCATATATCTAGATTATGGATTAGTCGATTAAAGCTTTCAATTCACTTTTGATTTTATTATTGATGTAGACGGCTGATATCATATATAGGAAATGTGTATATTAATAATAGACCCAATCGGCAACTCTGTATAACAAAACATTGAAATCAAAGTTGTTTTAGTGTATGTCATTTAGTCAGTCAGTCAACAACAACGTAGAACTTCGTATGTACGTACGTCATTTCATGTTGCCATACCACATTAGCACAGAATGCAATAGTGGTAGTAAAAGTATAAGCAGTAATCTGAAAGAGCAGGGTTTGAAGATGTTATTCAAGGAGCATAATCCAGTGAAGTAAATTTGAAAAGAGCAAAAGAAAAGGGACATAAACAATACAGAAGATTAGAACTTTGGAGAACACAAAGAGTGGATGCACCTGCGCCATTGCAAACGATTTTGAGCCATGTCATTTAAGGTCTCTAACCATCGGTTACTATCATCTCGTGGTCCCCAACCAGGTAATCTACACCTACCAATATGACTCAGTCTGCTTGTCAGTGACTTCATGCACTTGTGCCATGTTTTGGTCTGGCCGCCTCTAACTTTCTTCCAATCTACTCCTATACAACAAAACATCGCACATCGAGGCAGTTGGTGGTTGGGCATACTTAACACTTGTCCCAGCCATCTCAACTGATGAGGTTTCACTACTTCATCAATTGATTTGCCATCCTTACCTAGTACCCGTTTCTTAACAACTGCATCACTTACTCGATGGTCCCATGGTATACAAGCAATGCTTCGAAGACATCTATGATCGAATACCCGTAACCTACGAATATCCTCTACTCTTACCGGCCATGTTTCATTGCCATAAAGTAAGACGGAACGAACTGCTGCACAGTAAATCCGTCCTTTGGTTGGTAGACGGATATCTGTTAAAATAGAATACATTCCAGAAAAAACATGAATAAATTCATGTCATTCAACATAATTTTTAGCTAATTCTTTCAACAAAAATAAGACTGAAACAATATGAATAGTAAATAATGAATAACTTTAATACATTAATAGTAAGTATAAAGTATTTCATAACCAAACTATTGGTATGTCAATTGGTAGTTTATTAGTAAGTCTGTTCAACGTTCAATTTCTAATCTCATTTCATCTATTTCGGTTTGAACAGTTGTATATTATCACTAACTGTCACATACATAATGTAGCATAAAAATGAGTATATGACTTTCTATCTAATAAGTGAGTTTCCTCTTCACCATCATCATCAAGTTACGTTTAGTTTATATATTATTATACAATCGTGAAAAGTACATACTAAAATGAACTTACATAATTTTATAGAATATAAGACGTTCTGCAACAATACATATACAACAGAATGTTTCAAAATCAATATATTGATAATCTATAACTTGTAATCCAATTAGATTAAATACTAATGTATAACAACTAATTGGAATTTGTACTGGTACAATATCTTCAAATGCATTATTTAATTTCTAATAATAAAATATACAAAAAAAGAGATAATTTTTATCAAGAATTAAGTAATTGAAATGATTTCACAATGAACTTCAATCTACTGTACGCATAGCTACGGTGACTTCATCCACTTGGTTACCGCTTCAGCCGTTTGAAGGACTTTAAATCTGACAAGTTTTGGCGAAACTAAATTACTGACCCGATAAATAATTGAAAAAGATTGGTTTATACTAGCATTATGACTAGTTTGTACTGAATGGGCCAATATTAAGCTGTACACTTTCTTCACCAAACCTTTGTTTAGCCACTCTGGAAGGTGTATAGCGACTGACGTGCAATTGAGTTTAGTTCAGTCAAGTTCTTTTGTTGACCTATTTAATGGACAAAGTCATCCATGCTATGACAACTTGTTGTACTGTTATTATTATTGTGCTTGTATGAAATACATATGCTTGAACATTGTTTAGCGCCTACGCATGTATTCATTTTTCTAGCTCCATTATTAACTGCCTAATCTATTCGCTGACTCATCCATTTTCCTATACATATATATTTGTGTACATTTGCACCCATTCACTACAACTACTCGCTACTGTTACTGCTATAATTGTAGTTCGCTTGCTCGTCCATCTTGCCTCTGCTGTCTGGTCCGAATTATCTGCTAAATAAACTATAGTACCTGCTTCTTTTTGCCTTCTGATTTCAAACATCGTTGAAGGTTATACGATAACGGTTCGAGGCTGATTAGTTATCGAAGCACAGCCACTTCAGGTGTTATATAATCTCTAATCCAGGTCGTATTATCATGATATAATCATAGTGAACCTTGTTTCATTTAACAATTTTTTTTTCGTTGTTACATTATTTATCTCGAACTCAGCAAGTGATTCATTTTATAACTCTGTTATGGTTTCATCAGAAAAATATTTAACGTTTTAAAATCTTATTTGACATATCATTACAGATTAAGTTACAATTGACTTTGAATGATGAAGTGATGTGCTTGTAGAATTTCACACTAAGTTTTCTTGAAACATGCTAAATACATGGCGTTTTCATTATGAAATGATTTTATATAGACAACTATTGAACACAAAATAATCATCATAACTTCTCAGTACTAAGCATGTTGTAAACAATCAAGGGAGACTATTAAGATGTATTTGAGTTATTTTATACTTTTTATTATTATTTTATTTCAACACATAAATATTGGTACAAGGAGGCACCAAATAGATATGCACCACATAAATCATTCAGTTTATGTGAGGGCTAAGATACTCCTCGATTACCCAAACAGAAGCAGCTGGTTTTCTTAGGGGGCCACACACCAAGCCTTTTATCTAATAGTCTGATTTACAAGACAGTGGAGCAACGTTAGGAGATGCAGTCTAATGTTAGTCGGTCACCAACAATTAGTCCATACGCCATTTGTTCCTTAAGGATACTGGAGTCCATTTGCACCATCGGTTTGGAATCAGGGTTATCCAAATTCCTTAGGTGGACTCTCCGTGCTAGCAACCTGGCTAAAGCGCCGGACATTGGCTTTTTATCCTGTCGATTTTGTAAACAACACCCCCGCCACGAGAAGGCAATGAGTAGGACTTCCCTTGGAGTGGTTGTATGCACGAGGCCATGAGAGAGCATTTTGGGAGGGAGAGTTGATTCTCCTCACTCTCGGCCGTAGCAGAGCATATGAAGGCCCTAAGAAACTTTGATTACGTTGAGATTATAATTTATGAATTACTTTTATGCGACGCTTAAGTGACCTAGAGAATGTTCACCTACTTGCTATTTTTAACTGAGTGTACTAAAATCCGAAACCTGCTACCTTAAATCTAATTGGTTCATCCATAAATTATAGTCTTACTCAAAATATAAAAGGAAAAACTAATTTCATAAGTAGTTGACAGATCATTATTACAAACAACTAGTGCTTACATCAATAGAAAGTTTAGAGCCTTGACACCAGTGATTATATATACGTCGATATAAATCATACTTTCTAGATGAAAGATGTGAAAATTGTCGTAGATAATCTATAACGGACATATCTAAATGAAAAGTAATAAAACATTTTTGATAAAATAGTGTAAAAACAGAATAATATATAACTTAGTAAAGTAGTTGATCATTTCAGTATGTAACAGTTTACAAAAAATATGTAATAACTAAAAATCCGGAGTATTTCAGTGATTGGTCTACACACAAAAAAATATGAGGCGCTGAGATTTATAAGACTTCGAAGAGCAGAAGAATTAACAATTTAAGTGTTCGCACGCGAGACTGAAGGCCCTGTGTTCGAATCCCGCGAGCGGGATCGTGGATGAGCACTGCTGAGGAGTCCCACAAAAGGAACAAACGACAGCCTAGTGTTTCCGGGTTTTCAGTGTTGGTCTAACATCAATCGGTTCATGATCTCAATCAAAAACTTAACAATCTCCACAACCCCTAAACTGTTAATTAACAATTTAATTGTGATTTTAAAAGTTCAATGATAATCCCTCATATCTGTAAGCCGGTTGGTGTATATTCAAATCTACTTATATTTAAAATGAATCGGGGATAAAGTGTTATTGTGAATATAGAGTGGTGAAAGGCTAGTTTTAACTTGGATGAATGTGTAGTATGTGGTTTACATTATATCGTGTTGATGTTATTTCACTTTTGAAATTTACACAATTCAAACTACTAACTATTATTAAGTAGTATAATCATTACTTACTTGAGTGGATAACGCGACGGCGTTTGAAGCGAATGGTACTGGGCTCGAGTCGCAGAGTGAACATCAACTCGGAGATGCATCTACATCCAGCTGACGAGTCACAAATAGGACAAAACGTGCGTCAATCTGGATCCCACTGCTAGCCACTATCCATCTTTGCTAATAAAACTTGTGAATTAAGTCAATATCGAGGCAAAACGCACAGTATACACATATACCAATAACAGATTGATCAATTGCAGTCTTAAACCTCAATGGGGAGATTCAAGCAAAACAACACCAAGTGAACATAGAAATGTATACTATAAACAAGTTAGCAAGCACTGAATAGTTGGTAACTAGATTCCTGTGACTGAAAAAAAATTGACCGTTATACTTTAATCAATTGGTAATCAATTGACAAGTAGCTTGGTAACGTAAATATAACACAATAAAGTGTCAAAATGGGATAATGTTTAAGATTAATATATTGTAGAGAAGATTTGTAGCTGAAGTTTGTGGTGATGATGTTGTCAAGAAGAATGATGAAAGCTCCACGATCAAACCACCCAATTCAGAGAACAAAACTTCATCAAAATTAAGGTTCATAAATTAAATGATTATTTATTGTGATTAATACGTAACTCTTATTAATTTAACGTCCATCAGTTCAATAATTAGAAATTACCTTCATAAATATATCATATTATGTCTGTGTAGGTTTAATCTTAGAGTTCCGAAGATTTGGAAAATAATGAGAATGAATAATGTCATAGTAAGACCCTAAATGTCTCAATTTGCACTATGTAAAACTTGTCTTTAAATCTGTTTAAGGAAGGTAGATCATAACATTACAAAGATTTAGTTACTGTTGAGTTCTATTGATATCACGAAGCGATCTAAATTAGACAGACGTTGAAAACCTGTAACGAGAAAGTATATTGGTCTACGTAATGTAATACACAAACACTCATTGATATAAATGCATCTCTACCACTATAGAAAATCAATCAATTTCTTAACCAATGATATGCACTTGTCCTTCAGCTTACTTTTAATTGCTATCAATTGAACTTATCATTTGGATAATTCTCATTGGTCCACCAAATCAGAAACTCGTAGCATTTTTGTTCTAGTATGGTACTATTCAGAATTACGTACCCAAAAGCTCCTAATGAGCCATCGTCTTTCAACTACTATTTTGTAAAACATGTTTTACAAATTAAACTTCCGTCAATTTACAATTCCGTCTGACCATCTTCCAGTAACACCAGTGACATTTATCGCACATCAGACATGGATGAACTCTATGGATCTGAGTTACACTTTTGAACTCCTGGAATAATCCCTTAAAGTTAACCACTAGTAAAAACAAACAACAGCAGAGTAGTCGCTGAAGTTGATAAACATTATTGATAATACAACTGGTTTTCAATGTCTCATGAATCAGTAAAGCATTCCAACTTATAACTCCATTTCAATGTTTCTATCAATGAATAGATCTTTAGTTTAATAGTTGTGTAAGACTAATCTACTCGACTGACTTCAGTTGAAACATTATTGTAGTAAAAATTCCTTTTCAAGTTCAATCATTATAACATAAAATGTTTCATAGCTCAAAACAATCTGATCATTAACATAGATATCAAGTTATGTTTGAACAACACTTATCAATTACACTTACATTACACTGGTCCGTTATGAAAAAAATATTTTTTTGTTGTGAAAAAGTGACTTAAGTACCCAAATACTTCATTTATTACTTTGAAAAACTGTTAGCTTACTCTCAAGTATTCGTAAATCTGATGGCAGACTAAACCAAAAACTATCTTGATAATTTGTAGTATCATGAAAATCATAGTAAACTTCTTTTCTTGGATAAATCTATAAAGTTCAAGTAGAAAATGATGAAATAAATTTTCACTATTCTTTCATTATAACAACTTTCAATCTACAGTTATTCAAATAAAGTTGACAGATTGCGTTTAGTATCGGGATTCAGAACATGATTATTGTACTATTTAACAGTTCTTTGCTCATTGTAACGGCATATATGTTAATGCTGAAACCTGAGACTTAGACCTAATAGGTCCCGATAAGAATAATGAATGGTAACTTTTGGAATCCATTTATGGACCAATACTATGAGTATATTTTTATCGTATAATTGTTAAATAACTAAACTCTTCATATTAATGTCCCTCTCATCATAAGCTTTATTTTCACCGATGAACTGGTATTATACAATTTACCGTTCTTGAGTTATGCTCGATCTATTAATTCCTACCTCCCACATTCGCAGCCACATTTGGTCAAATATTGTACAATGTTATTTTCCATTTTATGGTACGATGTGGTCTGTTGGGTTGGTATATAAACCGAGAATATTCGAAGTAAGTGATTCATATCGCAGAGGTTGAGATTGGTGTTCTGGACTCAATTGGATGGGCTAGGCCTAAAGCAGGACAATTCAGGACTCTAGTGCTCGCACGTGTTTTACGCGTCATTGGTTTGATCGACAATTCACTGCTCTCTGATTGGTGGTATCATTACGTTATACAATAACAGAGTAATCAGGTCACAAGTTATAAGACTTTTTTACAGATGCTTATTGCGTAATCCACCTATCCATCGAGACCCAGAATCGAGATCAACATTGAGAAGAACATGAAATTAACTGATGGGTCACAAATACGTCGAAACCCAAGTCTTGACTTCGAATGCCAGCCACAATTTATCTAGTCCATATAATGTGTTAGAAAACCGTTGTCTCAATGTAATCCGACCAGGATTTACATATACTCACGAAGACTCATTTAACTACAGCTATGCTTATCAACAAATGGATACTTCAAACCCTTTTTAATTAAAACAAAACAAGACTTTCTATTTTTTTAAAACTATAAATAGCATGATTATGTATTATCGTAAAAATTATCTACCAAGACAAAACATTTCTACATTAGATGACAGATCAATAAACGTTGAACAATTTACTGAATATCTGAGTAGGGAATCAGGAAAGGAGGTTGGATGTCGATAGTACATATATTATGGAAATCACTAAACCGCATCATTAGGCAAGACTTAAACAGAAACGCTGAAGGAGGAAGGAAAAGGGAAAGACCATTGAACATATTGCGTTGAGAACTGGAAGCAGACATCGAAAGAATGGCTAACAAGTGGAACGTAATTCTCAGGACCGAGTTGAATGAATAATGCTGGTAGGTGGCCTATGTTTCTTCACGAGGTGTAACAAGCGTTAGTAAGTAAAGATAGAAAACCAAAGTAAATTAGAATCAATAAATGAGCTAATCATGAATTCATATATCTACCTTTTCATGTTTCTTGACAATTTGTATATAGTGAATATAAGATTGTTTATATCAACCAAATAAGAAGTTGAAATATTTGTATTGAATCCAACTTGTATGCTTTTATTAAAAATGATAGAATCCAGTATGTCTATTTAAGTGATGATTATTGGAGTTGATTAAATGTAACTATTATTAAAAATAGATTTTTTTTCTCTTTGTATATAACCATTTTGATGTAAAATTAGTCAGTAAATAGTTGTCTAGTTGCATTGATCAGGTAACGTGTTATTACTTAGGTTATTAGCTATAATATTCATTGTAAACCTCTGTAACTACACCAACCATTGAGTCTGTGTTACAAAGTGCTATACACTTGTTAGATACAATTTACACATTTTGACTTAACCATGAATTCAAGCACCTAACCCTATACCTTTATTCTAATCAAAGATCAGTTTATTTAATCTAGAACCATAATGATGAAAATATACAATATATCACTTACTATAAATGAAGAGTTATCTGTTAACGTAGGATCTGAAAGAAAATCTTCCATTTCTAGACGTTGATTTTTTATTCTCTCACCATTTATTGAGTATAAATGAATCGACTTGTTAAAAGTTACTTATCGATCGAAGTAATTAAATTTAAGGTCATGGTTATTGATGAAACTACTCAGATATTCTAGTTGTAAAACTCGTGACTTTTCTTATCAACCAATAGGTTCCCAGATTGAAAAAAAGCACAACGAACTCAATAAGGACGTTCCACGAAAATATGGTAACTAGATATGTTTGATCTTTCTGTTACTGTAGGTGGTTGGAGACGATCTGCAGTATCGTATTAACCTAAATCGCTTAGATCAGCAAGGATTATCTGTGATCTCCAGGAGTTCGAATCAATGTCACAGCCAAAGACCTTAACAATATTAATAGAGAACTCTACAAGAGATTTAGATTTATGAATATACCTTCAATAATAATTTTCTAAGTCTTTGAACGTGGCAATATCGAAGTAATCCGAAATTTCCAGTAAATGTAGTCAGGGTTGGCGATTGGGTATCGGAGATACTATTCAAATACAATAAACTAGTGAAATAATAACATTATGAGGAACGTAGGAACTCAGGATCTAACGGAAGATAGATAATGGATGCACCAGAGCCATTACAGACAATTCTGAGCCGCGTCATTCAAAGTTTCTAATTATCCGTTGTTTTAATCTCGTGGATTTCACCAGGTAACTCACACTTTTAATCATTATTCAGTCCAATAGCCAATGACTTCAAAGACTGATAGCATTTCTTGGTTTAGAGGCCGCTAACATTCTCCCAACCTACACCTACTCAAGACATCGCCTGTCGAGGTAGGCGATGATAAGGCATACGTAACTGATGTCCGAACCCTCTCAGTTGATGGAGATATACTGTTTCATCAAGCGATTTGCCACCTTTGCCAAGAACCCTATGCCTAAACCTTAACATTATCTACTAAGCAATTACAGAATGTTCGAGGAATGCTTAGAAGAAAACTGTAACCAGACACTAGTAAATTACGAATATCCACTATTCATAATGGCCACGTTTTACACCCATGAAGTAGAACAGAGAGAACTGCTGCACAGTTTGCTTGTCCTTTGGTTGGCAGACAAATGTCTTGCATACACCACAAAGGACAAAAGTTGAAAAGCTAATTGAGCTTTCTGAATCTGTGCCGACATTTTGCCAGACGCCCGACCATCATGACCGGTGAGACTTCCAAAATAAATTAGACAACCGATACGCCCAACTACATTGAGTAACTAAGTATGCCAGTCTTGAAGTAACATTGTGAATTTGGAGGAAAAAAATAGCATCAAGAATATCCCTGCATTGTTGATTATGGTCATCAGATGACTGCATTTTCTCAGCTTCATCGTCAAACATAACTACATCATCTGCGTATTCCAAGCCAACAAGTGAATCTTCTGAAAATTCAGACGATGTCTATGATAAAGTTAAATAACACTAAAAAACTGACAACCCTGACGAACACCATTTGAAGTTACCAATTTCAATGACAGTTTGCCATAAACTCTGACTCGACCAGCAGTTTTGAAGCAGCTAGCCTTCGTATGATTGATGTTTTTCTATGGTACTCATTTCAATGACAGTCACTATCGTAATACCTCACGAGTAACAAAACTGAATGCTACCTTAAAGTCAAGAAATACAATTAGAGTCGAACGTCGTAATACGTACAATATTAACTGACTCATAACCATTTTATATTAGTGTTGATTTTACATTCAACTAACGAACCAAAATCTTGGGTGCAGATTCACGATAAAAGGGTTGCTTGAAAAGAAATATTACATGTTCATCTTATTATTCACTAGTAAGTGCATCTATAGGAAAAAATAGTGATTTTTTGTTAGAGTAAACGCACTTTGAACATGTATAATTCACATCTTAAAATTTGAACGTGAATATTTTAAATTTTGAAAATGATCGTGTTCGATATTGGCTTAGATAAGTTTTAAAAGACTACTGAGCATTTT